ATTTGCATTTTCTAAGCATTCTTCTTTACTTTAACTTCCCTTTTTTGTTTCCATCCATATATTTTCCATGGCCTAAGAAGATATCATCAATCTAAACTATTAATTTTGCAATAGAAGTTTAATTTTTCTAGTAAACTTCAGATGTGCCAATCCAAATAAATATTTTAAAAATCAAATGAGAAACATCTTTGTCCTAAAGTCAGAAGCACGTATATAAATGTTCATATACACATATTCACATACAAGCATATGTTTTTTTCCATATATATGAAGCAATATTACTTTTCTCTATTTTAGAAAAACATATTTACCCTGATCCTAGGCTCCATTTTTACCCTCTATACTTTCCATAGGAAGTCAGGCTCCTTCATCCCAAAGAGTTTATATATTTGTTTAGGGATTTACCTGACCACCTCTGGCAATTAAGCTCTTTTGGACTGGGTCTGTTTGCTGTTTTATTCACAGCAGAAGTTGATGGCTATTAGTTAACAACCTTCTTGAACTTCTCCCTTCCTTCTAAAATACTTCATTTGTGTCCATGTGGCTATGCTTCACTGTGGTTATAAGGTCAGGATTAATATAGACATTGCCCTATTTTTCACCATTTTCTTACTGAACGTCTAAGTACTCCTTAGGTTGTGCCAATAACACCAAGAGGAATCCTTTTTCTTTTTAGGTGCATAAGGGTGTGGAGATTCTAATTCCAAGATAATTTTATTTTCCTAGCACCACCTCACTCCCAAGGTAGTCATCACATCCAGTAACACCCTCCCCTACAGTGTGACAAAATGTCTTCAACAGAAACTCTTTTAGACTCATTCCCTAAGGCGAGGCTCAACACATCCTGATGACTTTGGAACTCTGTTTACTAGAGAGAGGCTTCTTTGTTGCCAAAATAATCAGTCTTCCAGGGTCTTTGCCTCTGCCCCCAAATGTTTGTGTAAAGGACCCTAACTCTCAGTGGTGACCCCCTCATCTCCTGACCCCTGTCTCCAAGTATCAAAAGTGTCAATGGCCCTCAGATGCTGACAGCAAAGGTTTGTTTTGTCTAAGTAGATAGAAGAATTATCCAATTATAATAATTTCTACTTTAATAGCCAAATAATGTTTTGTTTTGTTTTGTCTTTGTCAGATTTTGGTATCAGGATGATACTGGTTTCATAGAATGACTTACAGAGGAGTCCTTCTTCAATTTTCTGGAATAGTTTCAGTAGAATTGCTACTAGCTCTTTGTACATCTCATAGAATTGAGCTGTGAATCCATCTGGTCCAGGGCTTTTTTTGGTTGGCAGGTTTTTATTACTGATTCAGTTTCATTACTCATTATTAGTCTGTCCTGTTTTCTTTTTCTATGGGCATTATTAAATGAAAGGAAAAGAACACTTCAATTTTCTTTCTGACAACTTCCCAGTCCTTCATATAGAGAATGATACTTTGAAATAATTTTTGGACAACAATATAGAAATAGAGCAAGCTCGAAGAATTTCTGTTTTCACTTTTTGCTCCAGTTGTTTCTGATTTTATGGTCAAAGTTAGAGGGGAACTTAACCAGGAAGATCTTACTCCAAGCAGCTCTGTAGTCTTCTGTGCCAAACTGGTTAAGATATGTTAGAAAATCTGATAGCAGAAACAGGTGGTTTGTGTCTTTGGGATGTTGATGTTATCTCCATTTTCCTCAGGAAACTGGAAGTGGGTCCTGGCATTCTAGCATAACTTAGAGGAGTTCCTTTTCAGATGCCTTAAACACTTAATTTCCTTATTTTCCAGGTTATAGTTCCAAGGCACATTCCAACCACAGGAACAGGGGTGGCAACAGCAAAGCATCACCAGTGCCCTCAGCAGAGAGACCAGGAAATGGAGAATTACCTTCAGTGAATTACTGTAAAAAAAAAAAAATCAATAAAGCAGCACGTGGCCACTGGTCATAATAAGTACAAAGAAAAACACAGAAAATTATAACACTGCAACTGTGCTGTGTAAACTACTCATGTCTTATGTAGAAAGAGGTAAAGATTAATCAATCAAAAATAATAACTATAATGACTTTTCAAGATATCGACAATACAATAAGATATAAATAGAAACAACAAAAAGTTAAAAAGTGGGGAGATGAAGTTTGAGATTTTGTTTTCTTTTGCTTGTTTATGCAATCAGTGTTATCAGTTTAAAATAATGGGTTAAAAGACTACCTGCAAGCCTCAATGTAATCTCAAATCTAAAACATACAACAAACACACATAAAATAAAAAGGAGAAGTTAAAACACACACCAGAGAAAATCACCTATACAAAAAGGAAGACAAAAATAAAGAAAGGAAGGAAGAGAGGACTATCAAATAATCAGAAAACAAATAACAAAATGACAGGAATAAGTCCTCATAAAGAATAACATTGAATGTAAATGTGCTAAAGTCTCCAATCAAAAGACATGGAGTGGCTTAATGTATTTTAAAAAAACAAACAAAAAAATACACGCAGCTGTGTGTGGTGGCTCATGTCTATAATTCCAGCACTTTGGGAGACCAAGGCAGGTGGATCACTTGAGCCCAGGAGTTTGAGACCAGCCTGGCCAACATGGCGTAACTCCATCTCTACTAAAAATACAAAAAATTAGCTGAACGTGGTGGCACATACCCATGGTCCCAGCAACTTGATAGGCTGATTCATAAGAACAGTCTGAACCTGAGAGGTGGAGATTCTAGTGAGCTGAGCTAGACTGAGCCACTGCACTCCAGCCTGGGTGACAGAGCAAAACAAAACAAAACAAAAACCCCTAGATGCAATGATCCATTGCCTACAAGAAATATACTTCACCTATAAAGACACAAATAGACCAAAAATAAAGAAAAAAAAAAAAAATCTATGCAAAAAAAAAAAAAAAAAAAAAAAAAAAAAAGCAGAAGCTACACTTATATCAGACAAAATGGATTGCAAGACAAAAACTGTGAAAAGAGAGAAAGAAGGTCATTATATAATGATAAAGGGACTCATTCAGAAAGAGCATATAACAATTGTAAACATATATTTACCAACACTGGAGCACTCAGGTATACAAAGCAAATATTATTAGAGCTAAAAAGAGAGATAAACCCCAATACAATAGTAACTGGAGACTTCAACACCGCACTTTCAGCATTGGCCAGATCACCCAGATAGAAAACTAACAAACATTGAATTTCATCTACACTATAGACCAAACGTACCTAATAGATATTTACAGAACATTTCATCCAACAGCTACAGATACACATTCTTCTCTTCGGCACATGGATAATTCTCAAAGATATACCAAATGCTAGGTCACAAAACAAATCTTAAAATACAGAAAAAAAGTAAAATAATATTAAATGTCTTCTCTTACAACAGACTAAGAAAAAAAACAAGTCCCAGATAAATACAATCACAGATGAAAGTGTAGACATCACAACCAACACCACAAAAAATGAAAGGATTATTAGAGGATACTACAAGGAACTATATGCCAATAAATTGGAAAGCCTAAACAAAATAAAGTCCTAAAAAAATACAACATATTGGTCTGTTCAGGTTTTGTATTTCTTCACAGTTCCATGAAGAAATACAAAAACTATGAAGAAATACAAGAATGGTTCTAGAAGACAAACAAGAATTGTTTCTTGTATTTCTTCATGGTTTTTGTATTTCTTCACTGAAGTGTGAAGAAATATAAAGTGTGGACAGAACAATAATAAGTAATGAGGCAGAAGCCATAATAAAAAGTCTCCCAGCAAAGAACTCAGGATCTGATGGCTTTACTGCTGAATTTTGCCAATTATTTAAAAAACTAATATCAATCCAACTCAAATTATTTTTTAAAAAAGTGGACAGAATCTTTCCAAATTCATTCTATGAGGCCAATATTACTCTGATACCAAAACTAGAAAAAGACACATTTATAAAAAAGAGAGAAAAGTATAGGCTATTATCTCTGATGAACATTGATGCAGAAATCCTCAACAAGTTAGCAAACTGAATGCAGGAACACATTAAAAAGATCATTCATCATGACCAAGTGGAATTTATCCTAGAGATGCAAATGTGGTTAAGTATGTGCAAATCAATGGATTTTATGTTGTTCAATGAACATAATGTCCTCCAGCTCCATCCATGTTGTTGCAAATGATAGAATCTCATTCTTTTTTATGGCTAAGTAGTACTCCAGTGTGGGTAAGTGCCATATTTGCTTTATCTAGTCATCTGTTAGACAACTAAATTGCTTCCAAATAGTAGCTGTTGTGAATAGTGCTGCAATAAACATGGGAGTATAGATATCCCATTGACATACTGATTTCATTTCCTTTGGATAAATACCCAGTAGTGGGATTGCTGGATCATAAGGGAGTTAAACGGGGATGGCTAATGGGCACAAAAATATAGTTAGAAAAAATGAATATGATTTAGTATTTGATAGCACAATAGAATGACTACAGTTAATAATTTATTATATATTTTTAAATAACCAAAATAGTAGAAATGGGATATATGTAACAGAGAGAAATAAATAAATGCTTGAGGCATTGGATACTCCATTCACCCCAATGTGATTATTATGCATTGTCTGCCTATATCAAAATATCTCACATATCCCATAAACACAGATGTCTATTATGTACCCACCAAAATATATTTTCAAAAAAGTTGCTATAAAAATATAGTTATCAAGTTAAGTAAAATGTCAATGGCCTTTTAATTTAATTTTAATTGTTTTACCATTCTTTATAATGATAAAAAATATTAACTTTATACTTTTTTATTTAATGTATAGAAGAGATATACATAAGATACATAAATACATACACAATGTAAATGTGATTAAAATATAATGGGAGATTTAATCAGAAAAAAAAAGTCTCTAAAAAGGCTCTGTGGTAAGAGAGGAAGGAAACAATAATGAAAAAAAATGTGGTGAGAAAAAAGGCTTAAAACCCATGTAAAGAATGCGTAAAGAAAGGAAAAAGAGAAATAGAAACTAACATGGGGCATTTGGAAAGTAGAAAATAGTATGTTCCCTATTTAAAGCTATGCACAAAGCAAGGTCTTCAGAGAGCCTGAAGCCTAAGGTTTAGGTTCACCCATTTCAACCAAAATAGCAGCATCTGCAACAACTACAATGGCCTTGACCTTTCCTTTACTGGTGGCCCTCGTACTGCTCAGCTACAAGTCAAGCTGCTCTATGGGCTGTGATCTGCCTCAAACCCACAGCCTGGGTAACAGGAGAACTTTGATGCTTCTGGCACAAATGAGGAGAATCTCTCCTTTCTCCTGCCTGAAGGACAGACATGACTTTGAATTTCCCCAGGAGGAGTTTGATGGCAGCCAGCTCCAGAAGGCTCGAGCCATTTTTGTCCTCCATGAGATGATCCAGCAGACCTTCAACCTCTTCAGCACAAAGGACTCATCTGCTGCTTGGGATGAGACCCTTCTAGACAAATTCTACACTGAACTTTACCAGCAGCTGAATGAATTGGAAGCCTGTGTGATGCAGGAGGTGGGGGTGACAGATACTCCCCTGATGAATGAGGACTCCATCCTGACTGTGAGGAAATATTTCCAAAGAATTGCTCTCTATCTGAAAGAGAAGAAATACAGTGCTTGTGCCTGGGAGGTTGTCAGAGCAGAAATAATGAGATCTTTTTCTTCATCAACAAACTTGCAAAAAGGTTTAAGAAGTAAGAAATGAAACCTGGTTCGGCATGGAAATGATTTTCATTGACTAATACACCAGCTCACCTTTCTATGATCTTCCATTTCAAAGACTCATGTTTCTCCTTTGACCATGACATAGCGTAAATCTTTTCAAATGTTTTTAGGAGTATTAAGCAACACTGTATTCAGCTCTTAACACACTAGTCCCTTACAGATGACTATGCTGACTGATCTATTATCTATTTAAATATTTAAATATTGTTTATTTAACTATTTATAAGACCTAACTTACTTTTGTTCATATTACATCATGTGCACCTTTGCACTGTGGTTAATAAAATATGTTCTTTGTATTTAGTAAGTTTATTTTGTTTTTTCATTGAACTTTTACTATGGAAATCCTTTTTGTACTTGTTTATTCTTTAAAATGAAATTCCAAGCCTGACTATGCAACCTGATTAAAGAATAAATGGTACACTTCATTTATTTATCAATATTATATTCAAATAAAAGTAAAAATAAACTTTCTGTAAACCAGGTTGTATGTTGTACTCAAGATAACAAGGTGAACCTAACAAATACAATTCTGCTCTCTTGTGTATTTTATTTTTGTATAAAAAACTAAAAACAGTAATCATACTTAATATCAGTTATGGAAAATGGTATGAAGAGACAAAGGAACAACTTCTACTCTGCAGAAGGTAGATTGAGGTATGTGAGGAAATAAAAATAACAGAGATATCCTCGTTAAGTTGACTAGTATACATCTAGCAGAAAATGTCCATTGCCAGTTATTTACGTAAGTTTGTAATTTATAAGGAATGTGATTGCTGGGGTTTCACATGTAATAAGGGGAAGCCAATAATTGAAGGTCATAGTGTCTGGAGAGAATATATATAGAGAAAAGGGTTTAAACATAATTATGAGGACCTTTCACTTTTAAAGAGAGGGGAGAGAACAGCCACAAAGGAAAACAGGTGGAATGGCTGCACACTAGAAGGCAACAAGAGGAAAAGATAATGAAAGTGTATTTAGAAAGATAAATGCTTGAGACTAGGAGTTCAAGGCTGCAGTAAGCCATGATCTCAACACTGCACTCCAGCCTGGAAGACAGAGAAGGAGGGACCACATCTCAAAATAAACAAACAAAAGGAAATAAACATGCTGAGAAGAGGATTTAGTGGATTTGCCCAACGTGTGGCTTGAAACTACAGACTAATTGGGAAATAGATGGCATTGGCACCCTTAGTGAGGATTGATTGGGTAAAATTAATACACAGAAGACAGAAGTGGAAGTGTAAATAAGATAAGTTAGTGACCTGAAGTGGAGAAAGAAATAGAATGGGATTAGAAAAGAATGTGGGTTATTTCTTCTGTGCACAGTTTTTCCTTTTTTACAATGTATATTTTTCTGAATAGATTTCACAAAATTGAGGTACTGGAAAATGACATTAATCTATTTCATATATTTATTTTAAATTATGGAATATTTGATTCCAACAGTACTTTATCACTTTTAATTAATACTACTGTGAGTATCAGTAAGATGCCTATTTTTGTTAATTATTTTGGCAGGAATAGGTAACTACTTCAATCTTTCATTAAAATATTCAATTAATATTGACAATATAATGGTTACTGCAATTACTGGCTTTATTAAGTTATTTAGCTTGTGCCATTGTCATGTTGGTTTACTACAATTTGACTGCAATTCTCTGGTAGAGCCAGATATAAGAACTCTTTTATACTACTCCTTGGTAATTTTTCCTGATTTTATGAATATTACAATCTTACATGAATCCAAAAATTACTAAGTTACCATAACATATAAACTGACAAACTTTCTTCACAAATTAAATTGGGAAACTGGATGAGAGAATCTCTTCCCCAATACTTAAGGGAAAAAAAAAATACTAGTCAAACCAGCTAAAAATACAACCTGAACCAGAAAGTACCAAAGAGTTGTGTATAATTCAGGAGTACAAGGAGACTTAACAATTGTAATAGAAATCCAGAATACAAAACTGACAAAATCACCCATAATTTACATTAAAGACTTTGATATAGAAATTTCATTTTTCTTGGATGTATGTGTGATGTTGGTCAACCCATTTAATCTCTCTGAGCTTCACTCTTCTCATAAAAATCGGGTTCAAAATATTTATATAGTTGTGAATATTAAAAAAACATGAATTTTAAAGCACCTACCACAGTATCTTCCATCAAGTAAGAAGTTAAAATATAATAGATATTTCCCTGTTTTTCTTCAGACAGCTGTAGGTAAGGGCATTATTTATCTTTCTATAAAATTCTTAGGATCTGTGTCCTACTTTTCAGTAAGTGACCGCCAATGAAGGCAGCCTAAAAAAACTAGATTCTGTCATCATGTATAGAGAGGTTGAAAAATGGTCACTCCTCATTTCAAAGAAATGACCTATTTATATGTGGTTAGGGAATGCTTGCTTGTATAAATACCCGAGACCGGAGAATAAACATATAGACTGGAGTGTAGAAGACATGTGATGTTTATTTACTGATTCAGGCACCTGACACATTCCCTCCCTGGCTCTCAGAATTCCAGGAGGCACTTCCATATCACCAGGGTTTCCTTCCTTTCCAAGGTGGATTCCCCATGGGACCCTGGTCATTCATTCCCTTGACTTTCCTGCCCATTCACACAGAGAAGCTTTCTGTTACACTGTGGTTCTGGCTTCAGATAGCTTCCCTAAAGAGCAGAATGCCACAAGGAGAAAGCAGAAGTGAGATAAAATTTCTAGGTTTACAGAAACACCTGCAAGAGGGGTTTTCTAGAATCTCCATTGAATATGACATAACAGCAGCTTAGCAAAAAGGAAAGAGAAAGCAGAATTCAGTTCATGTGTAGGCTCCTGCAAACCTCTCAGGGGAAGAGAGTCCCCTGGGGCCAAGTATGACAGGGCAGCAACCAAGGCTGGAGACCAGGTTTCTCATCTATGAAGAAATCCTTCCAGTTCAGGGGATTTCTCCACATGCTGCAAAAAGGCTACTTCTTAGCCAGAAGAGATACTCATGCTGACATAAGCATGTTTCCTTACCCTTGGTCTATTACAAAGAGAATGAGTTTCTGGCTGCAGTCAGGGGATGGACTCCTTGGGATTTCCAGTTATAGGGACAGAGAGACATGTATTCTCTGTCTATAGCCTACTTTTCAGACCAGTCCATGCTCCCTAGGATCACCCCTTCCACATACATTAGGACTCCTGGGGACACACAGAGCTGCCACTTTGGATTAAAACTTAATACTATTCACAAAAATATCATGTTTATTAGTGCATTAAACTCTTGACCGTGCAATCTTAGTTTCACAGATTCATTCCTAATATCAGAGTTCAAACTTTAACAAATCAAAACATTTTCTCATTGTCACTTTAGATAGTAATCTTGACAGCTCAACTCAGCAATAAAAACTGTGTCTAGTTAGCAAAAGGGAAAAATCCCACAGAAGCTAAGGAATATAAAAGAATATTATTATTATTCTCTGAGAGCTAGTGAGGTCTGTTTATTCAAATGCATCAATTTTGGTAGAATTTGAGAGGCATTCCTATAATTGGCACCATGTTTTCATGGAGGTATTTCCCAGGAAGTGTGTGTGAATTGCTAAGGTAGCAGGGATGAAGAGCACAGGGGTCTCTTGAATCTTTTCCTTAAACTACACAGTCAACATCATATATATAAATACCTAGAAATATCTAGATACATAAATATCTAGAAATTGACATATACATAAACATATATGGCTATCATTTTCTTATTTTATAGATATATGGTTATCTTATTTTATACATATATATCAAAATCATGAACACTCTCCTCAAATTCAGTAACTACTACCTTCGAGAACATGACACTCTAAAAAACAGAATTCTTGGAAGTATTCTGGAGAAAACTGAAAAAGTCACCATTCACATCAAAATATTAATTTTACATTTGTCAGGAAATGTTGCTTATGAAATATATGGAAGAGAAGTTATTTCCCTAAATCGAAGTAAAATATGCGTAACATATACTGGTTGATTCCCATACCTAGCACAATTCCCTTCCTCTTCCCCTGTCTTCTGAATCCCATTTTTCACGTTTGTTGGGGCTCAGAAAAAAACAATACTCAAAAGTGATGGTCTCAGAAGCAGCCTCAGAAGCAAATTTTCTCTCTTGATTTTTTCCCCCTTCTGTTTCTCACTCTTCAATCTCTAGAGGCTAGCCATAAAAACTAGAAATCCCCTTTCCCCAGGCTCCTGTTCCCCAAAGTAAGCCATGAAACCTAAAAATATTACTCTTACGTTTCTGTGTAAGAACTGGCCCTAAAGAAATTCTTTGAACTATCTTGTTCAAGTGTAGGTTATAAGACCCCTATTCCAAAAAGAGCTCTGCCCCATGCCTGGGGGGAAGGAAGGCTGCACAGAAAGGTCAAGAAGAATCTGACCAGAAAGGCCATGTTGGGTTTCCTTACTCATGATCTATTAGCATTAGATCATGCCCTTTTTGCCTAATCACATTTTTACACAGCTGCCCATTCTTCATTGAACTTAAACATTAAAATGAATCTTTTTTAAATGTAACTGTGGGTCGTCATTCTGATGGCTCCCATGTCACATAAAACTATGATTAAATAAATATGCTTTGCTATCTTCCATTTGCTAAAGGGAAGTCAGGTATGATCCTTATAATTGGAAGGAAAGAGATTACACCATTTCTGCTCCTAGAGTCCTGGTGACGAGGATGGGATGGCCGAAGCACCTGACGGATGAGGTCCTGGGACAATTGGCCAAAAGTTGGCAAAGAAAAGTAAGAATTTGTAACGAGGTCTATTTTCCTGGATCTCTGCCTGTAGTGCCTAGTCAAGGATGGAAGGTAAAAATTTCTTGTTTTCTTCTTTCCAAATTCAGAATAGCAAGAGAAAACTATTTGCTTGGATTGAGCTTCTTGTGTAATTTTGATTTAAAGTATACATTTGTTATTAATCCTTTCCCTTCCATGGGCAGCTATTGTGTCCCTGTTTGTCTCATATTGTGTCCTGAGAACCTGGCTTGGCTTGCTGCCTGTGCAACACACTTCGGATGTGCTGGTGGCCAAAAAAATAAATAAAAACGTTGGGGGCTCCCATGACAAGCTTACATATCAACTGTTGCTAGCTCTCAAAGTGTCCAAATCCTTCTTTTGGCTATCTTTAGGAGTGGCTCTGATTTCTGAGAGAGTTCCATCCTTGCATTTCTTTGAAGATGTCTTATGCATCCTTGGTTAAGTCATAAAAGACTGAATTTGTTTCGATTTGGAATCATTTGGTAGATACCTTTGTTTTAAAAGAAAAGAGAAAAAGGAAAGAAAAAACAGTTTCAAAAGCTAGAAATATTGCCTGTTTTTTCTTGCTGAGATCTGATAAGAGATTTAAAATGGGATCCTGTTTCTCCCATAGGAAGTTTTTTCAGTAGACCTAAACCTCTTTTTAATGATATGTTTGATCCCTCTGTTTGCCTCCTTTCTTGTTGGCATAAATT